GCCGGGGGGGTGAGGAGGAGTTGGGCCCAGAGGAGGCACGTGCTGGCTTCCCTCTGGGGGGAAGGGGGGAATCCTGGGAGGAGTCAGAAAGAGAGGATTCTCTGCCTCCATTGGCACCCTGGTCCCAGTTCCCTCTCCCCACTCCCACTCTCCCGTTCCCTCTCCCCAGCCACAGAATGCTGTCCCCACTCCTGTCCTGAGCCACAGAAACCTGTCCCCACTGGCACTCTGTCCCGTGCTGCAGAAACCTGTCCCCACTGGCACTCTGTCCCGTGCTGCAGAAACCTGTCCCCACTGGCACTCTGTCCCGTGCTGCAGAAACCTGTCCCCACTGGCACTCTGTCCCGTGCTGCAGAAACCTGTCCCCACTGGCACTCTGTCCCCTGCTGCAGAAACCTGTCCTCTGCCCTCCCAGCACCCTGTTCCCTGGAGGGTTTTTTTGTATCTCACTTGTGGGGCCCCAACTGACTTTTCTTGGGTTAGTGACCCCTGACTCAAACAGGTTCCCTGCCCTTCTCAGTATTAAAGACAACGCAGAAACTTTGTTTGACATACTGTTTTATTTAAAAATGAAGCCTGGCCAACAAACCCCAAATTGGGGCCAAGCCCCCATCTGGCCACAGCATCATAAAACTCTTGCACTCCCCTTTCCCCCAGAGCCTACATCTGAGCCTATCATACACGAATCCCTTGCCCTGAGCCCCTCACATACCCCAATCCAAATTCCTGAACCCTCACATCCAGAAGTCTGTGGCTTGCTTAGTACCCTAACCCTACATCTGACCCCAACACTGCCCGGCCTGTTACCCTCTCCCCGAGCGTTGCCTTATCCACCTTCTCCTGCATCCAGATTTCCTACCAGAGCTTGCACCTCTCACCCCTTTCCACACCCAAATCCCTCATTCCCACCCCAGAGCCTACACATCCTGTCTCAACCCAGCGAGGTTACAGCTAGACTGCAAGAGTTTTTCAGGATTCCGGAGATATCCCAGAAAAACACTTCTGCATCCAGGGATGCATTTGTTCTTCCACTTCTTTCAGTGGAAGAGCAAACATGATCTTTCGGTCATCCCATATTCTTCTTTTCACGAGGAAGAAGGGGTTTTTCTGACATTTGGTCCAGTCTAGACAGGCCAAATGTTGGAAAAACCTCGGATTGGGGATAGCAATTGATGGAGAGGAGGAGAATAGAGAGGGCGGGGCTTCAAGGAAGAGGAGGGGTGGTAGATCTTGGCTTCTTCTGTCATTTAAAAAATGATCTTGGGTGTAAAAAGGTTGGAGACCACTGCTATATAGGTTTACCCATCTGAGTCCATCCTATGTGAACCAAGTTTAATTACAGTAGCTTTTAATTTCTAATTCTGAAAAAAAGAATGGAATGACAGAGAACTACAAAAATCAAACCTTGTATACTTTAGATCTGATTAAATATTCAGTAACAATATTGCAAGTTGCTGTATATAAACAAAAAATAGACCTAGACACTTGTAATGTTATGAAACTGACGAGTGTGAGTTCTCATGTAAAGCCTAAGAGTTTAGGGTGACTTATGCTATGTCAGTAGAAGCTTTTTGCTGTCATTTCAAGTTTAATGCCTATGGTAGCTATGTACAAGATGTGATTATAAGGAAATAGATTACATAATTGTATATTTTCTTGCAATTACTGGCTACTACTACATTTAAACTGCAAAGCTGGTGCAAGCTGGGACAGAGCACTAGGGATGTTAAATTGCAGTTATCTGACTAATTGTGTAAGCAATACAGTTTGTTTCGACTACATGATTAGTTGATAAACTGCTCTGCAAAGCCACAGTAGAGGTAGCTCCATTGTGTAAGCAATACAGTTTGTGTCGACTACATGATTAGTTGATAAGAACTGCTCTGAAAAGCCACAGTAGAGGTGGCTCCAGGAGTCCCTGCTTGTTCTGGCTCTGGGAGCTACCCGCACTGTGGCTTTGCGTTTTAAATGTAGTAAGAGCCCGAGCTTCCAGGCTCTTATTACATTTAAAATGCAGAGGTGCAGCATCCCGGACCAGCATGAGCTGGGAGTACTCTGTCCTGGCTCATGCGGAGTCCAGCTGCCCCTGTTTCCAGCTGCTATGCTGCACCAGCCCCTGTTCACAGCAGACAGGGCTGGCCACTGCAAACAAGGGCTGCTTGACAGCAGCAGCCTCTGTCCACAGAGGGGCTCAACTCTCCACTGGGAACCCTGCAGACACGAGCTGCTTTGTAGCAGCTTCTCCTATACCTCTTCTCCCAACCCCCTCCTGTCGCCTCTGATAGAGGGAGTGGAGGAGGCAGGCAGCACCATGGAGCTGGGGGGAATTGGTTTTTAAGCCAGCTATCCCCAGCACTGGCTGCTGTTTCCCCCCAGTGCTGCCTCTTGTAGAGACAGCGGGAGTGGGGGAGCAAGTAGCTGATATGCCAGTCAATTACCTGATAAGCTTATGTTTATCGGGTAGTCAACAACTCAGTAACGTCGCTACAGAGCACCTTCCCTTATCAACTAATCGTGTAGTCGATACACTTTGTATCGACTACGCAATTAGTCACCAGCCTCTTAACATCCTTAGTCAAGTTCTTGTTTCAGATTTCTTAATCCAACATAAACACAATTTCTCCAAAGAAATTTGATATTTAAAGCTTGAAGGCTTTCTTTTCCCAGATAACATCTTTTTATACTAATGAATGGTTTTGTTCACAGTTTCGCAACCAGTATGACAATGATGTCACTGTCTGGAGCCCTCAGGTAAAATAATATAATTATGTTACTTTCCATTTTTCCCTTTCTCTCTTTTTACTTTTATGGTAATGGCATCAAGGCAGTGGATGTCCTGCTTTGATAGCTCAAGAAGATTGATGCTGCTAGTACTTCTCCGTGAAGCAATCTTAGGATGCTTTAAAGAATACTGTGAATGTGGCGTGACAACTATTTTTGGGTCTACTCCTTTATGGCAGTAATAATCAGGCCCTAATGGTGCATGCGGTCAGTCATTGTATTAGAGTCAAGAATATAAACTTTGAAGACTGGAAAGGACTTTGACACATGAGTTGTGGTCTTCTGTGTCAACCATACAGTTATTAGTCAAAAAATAGATGTATATGGGACAGCCCATAATGGTTTCAAAGTACTCTGCGACAGGAAGTGGCTTATTGCTTATTACTGAAATTCCATTATCTCAGTGGAATATAGAGGAGTGTTTCAGAGATTTCTGGTAGATCTTTCATTACTGTAATAAATGTAAAACCAACAAACCCACAAATCTGTTAAAGGTCTAATTGAGACTGAAATCCCTGTTCTTAATTAATCTTAAGTGGAATGTTGACCCACTGAAGTCAATAGCAAATTTCTCATTTACTTGAACAGGGCCTGGATTTCAGCCTTTTTGTGTAGTTATTGCAGTGTCTCTACCTGTCTTACATGGAGGGTCAATTTTAGAGTTGTTTTATTTCATTCTGTAGGGCCGAATTCATCAAATAGAATATGCTATGGAAGCTGTGAAGCAAGGCTCAGCTACTGTGGGGCTGAAGTCAAAAACCCATGCTGTTCTGGTTGCTCTAAAGGTAAATTTAAGAAAAAATGGAATTCCTTTTTTCATCTTGCAGGCAAATGCATGGTAAATCCAAGACTTTATCACTGTTAAAATGTCATAGAATCATAGAATACTAGGACTGGAAGGGACCTCGAGAGGTCATCGAATCCAGTCCCCTGCCCCCATGTCAGATAAAGGGGGTGGGGGGAATTTATGGTTGGGTAGATAAATGTTACTACTTTTTGCTTTTATACTTTAAAAAGTATGTAAGCCTTATTTTCATATTTTGAGCACTGGCGTTGAGCTATTAATATTTTCATTAATCTATGATACAATGGATTTTAATCATCTGATAGAAATGAAAGAAATTGATTTGTCTGGTTCTGAAGCCAAATACATATTGGTTCAACTGACCCCTCCCAAATGAAGTATGAATATATGTATTTTTTCTATCTCTATTACAGGCAGTCCCCGACTTACGCGGATCCGACTTATGTCGGATCCGCACTTACGAACGGGGTAATCTATGATACAATGGATTTTAATCATCTGATAGAAATGAAAGAAATTGATTTGTCTGGTTCTGAAGCCAAATACATATTGGTTCAACTGACCCCTCCCAAATGAAGTATGAATATATGTATTTTTTCTATCTCTATTACAGGCAGTCCCCGACTTACGCGGATCCGACTTATGTCGGATCCGCACTTACGAACGGGGCTTTTCTCGCCCCGGAGCTCACGGCCGGCGGGTCGCCACCCGTGTCCTCTGGGGCGAGAAAAGCTTCTCCCAGTCTCCCTGGTCTGCTGGGGGGGTCCAGCAAAGCCGCTGGACTCCCCCAGCAGACCAGGCACACCCGAGCA